GAACAACTTAGGGAACTGGGTATGTTTAGCCTGGAGAAGAGACGTTTAGCCTGTTTAAATATTTGAAGGGACGTCATATTGAGGAGGGAACAAGCTTGTTTTCTGCCGCCCCAGAAACTAGGACCTGGAACAATGGATGCAAGCTCCAGGAAAAGAGAGTCCATCTTAACATTAGAAGGAACTTCCTGACAGTAAGGGCGGTTCGACAGTGGAACACACTCCCTCAGAGGGTGGTGGAGTCTCCTTCGTTGGAGGTCTTTAAGCAGAGGCTGGATGGCCATCTGTCGGGGATGCTTTGATTGGGAGTTCCTGCATGGCAGGGGTTGGACTGGATAGCCCTTGTGGTCTCTTCCAACTCTATGATTCTATGATTCCTTGGATGTCTTTAAAGAGAGGCTGGAATGCTGTCTGTCAGGTATGTTTTGACTGGGATTTCCTGCATAGCAGGGGGTTGGACTGGTCTCTTCCAACTCTGATTCTGTGATTTAGCCAAACCCTCTGCCATGCAGAAATACACAACTAAAGAAATAACATCTGAAAGATGTGCTTGTGTATTTGGTTGTGTGTAGGTTTGTGCAACATAACAATTTATTAATGAGACCATTAAGGCACCATTACCACCTACCTCTGTGAGCATGAACTTGCAGTCTCTTCTATGTCTACTATGTTTTTTTTGTCTGCTGGATCTCAAAGACAGTAGCTTTTCATCCTGCTAATGGGATTTAAAGTTTATTTTCTTGACTGAATCTCCCAGTAAACACATGGCCCAAAGGAGCAGGGGCTCACCTGCATGAATAACCTTCCATACCATCTGAACTGAGGACAACAACCACAACATCTTGACCAAATGCAAGCCTAAGATTAACTTTGTCTGTCTGTCTGTCTGTCTTTTCCTCTTTCCCTCCCTCCCTTCCTTTCTCATGCATCATTTTTATCTTCTTTACCTGATGAGGAAACCAGGAGAGCTTTGAAAGCTTGCATTATCTATACTGTGCATTTTGGTTGGCCCAATAAAGATATCACTGTCTTGTGGATTTTGGATGATACTGTAAGTCTCTTCTATGTGGAATCTGAGCCGGTATAAATTTGTTAGCCATAGATGCTTTGGCGATGCAAACAGTTTCTGCAATTTATGATTATTACTTATTGTGAAAGGGCTCCTCTTTCCATCTCCCTGCAATTTCTTCCTCCCCAACACCACCTGCCCTGTGTTTTTTTCCAGACTACTCCAATGCATTTTGCAGTGCTCCCCCCACCCGAAACGCACGTCAAGGACTCATTGCTGGCAAATCCACTCTCACAGCCACTCTTGCTGATTCAGATTGTGTTTACCTTGTTGTTTTCCTTCTGTTGTTAACATCTCCCCCCATCCTCCCCTCTGTGCCATTCACTTTCCTATCCCCCCCCCCCATTAGAACAAGTACATTGATCTGGCAGAAAATTGACAGTTTTCAAGGTTCCAGAGGTAGTAATTCCCCCCTCTTCCTAAGTAGCTTAATGCAGTCTGTGTTTTCATTTTCTATTCTTTACAATTGTTGGGGGGGGGGGGGAGAATTGTTTTGCTAGTCTCCATTGTGGAAGTGGCTCAAGTGACTACACCATGCTGGCTCTCAGTCCTACCCTATAGCCCTCAATTTTTGGCTCAAACGGGCTGAGTCTCCCTTATCTGGAATTCCAAAATCTTCCAAAATTGTCCGCATGGGTAACTGAGATAGTGACCCTTTCGCTTTCTGATGGCTGAGTGTATGCAAACCTCATTTCATTCACATTTTTTTTAAAAAAAAGAATATTATATATAAACTTACCATCAGGCTATGCGTATAAGGTATATAAAAAACTTAAAATGCTTAGATTTGGATCCCATCTCTAAGGTATATCATGTATATAGAAAGACTACAAAATCTAAAAAAACCCTCTGAAATCCAAAACACTTCTTTGTCCCAGTCATTTCGGATAAGAAAGACAACAACCTGTATACTATCCTCCCCACCCCCGGACACTAATGGAGGAATGGAGAGTCAATATGCTTTGAGTGTTGGACCTATGACTTTGGAAACCAGGGTTTGATGTCCAGCTTGACCATGAAACCCATTGGATGGCCATCTGTCAAGGATGCTTTGATTTTGAGTTCCTGCATGGCAGGGGGTTGGACTGGATGGCCCTTGGGGTCTCTTCCAATTCTGTGATTCTAACACATGCTCTCAGCCTGAGGAGAAGGCAATGACACACCACCTCTGAAAAAATCTTGCCAAGAAAACCCCAGAATGAGTTTGCCTTAGGGTTGCCATAAGTCAGAAATGACTTGAAGGCATGCAACACACACAATGGAGGAGTAGGCTTCCATTGCTCTGTTGCAAAGCTGTATCCGTGCACAGTGTTGTGTTGTCATGCCTTCCGTTGAGGAGGTCTCCTTCTGAAAGGACAAGGAAAGAGAGTAGTAAGAAGACATACTCCAGTAGGAGCCAGTGGATGCTGGGCATTGTGCCCTGGAACCCAGTGGGGTGGTCAGTCTGCTCTGGATCATTGCCCAAACTTTAATGGGACTATCTGCAAGAAGAGAATTGAATTATTCAACTGGATCCTATTTCCTCCAAATAGGTTGAACACATTGGAGAACTTATTTAAAGTTTGGACTAAAGCCCAGAGCAGATTCATCACTGTGTTGACATGGGAGCCACCAGTTGCCCCTGCAAGCCTGGGATGCCACTCCATATATACATATACATATATATATATATACACACACACACACACACACACACATATATACATATATATATATATATATACACATATACATATACATATATATATATATATATATATATATATACACACACACACATGCATAGCCCTTGGAAGTTTTGATTTCCAAGCATTTGGAGCTTGAATGAACACTGGGAACATTTAATACAACATGATGAACCGAACGGTTTTGTTCTTAATTGAATTACATTTCACTCATGTTTGCTCGACGATTGTCTTGCTAACTAAGATGAAGAGTGTTAATAAAAATATTTTACGTGTTAATTTTCCCATCTAATTCCATTCAATTTCTTTCGTCTTTCTTTCATGTTAGATTAATAGGGACTTTTATGTCGTCATCATAACAGTTCTTAAGCCTGGAAGGGTTCATCCCTGAATTCAATTTTTTACTATTATTGTCACCTTGATTTGTAACTTTCATGCTTTGAAATCTTAAGTACAGTTGTTAAAAATTCTTTGTTGCTCTAATTTGTCTAGGGATGGGTGTGAGACAAAATTATTTTTTTTAAAAAAACAATTTAGCAACATTTGTAAATGTCTTTATATTTGGGATGGAAAGAAATTTGCAGTTAAGGGCACATCAAAGTAGAAATGATGCAGTTTGGCATCACTTTAACTGCCATGGCTCCATCCTGCAGAAATCTTGGGGTTTGTCGTTTTGTGAGGCACCAGCACTGCTTGACAGAAAAAGCTATAAAGGTCTTGTAAAACTACAAATCTCAGGATTCCATAGGATGGAGCAACAGTACTCAAAGTGGTGTCAAACTGCATTATTTCTACAGTGTAGATGCACCGGGCCTGCATGCCATAGTGGTTTGAGTATTGGACTATGCCTCTGAAGACCAGGGTTCGATTGCCCGTTTTGTCATGAAACCCACTGGATGACCTTGGGCAAGTCACATGCTCTCAGCCTCAGGGGAAGACCATGGCAAACCGCCTCTGAATAATCTTGCCAAGAAACCCCTATGACTGAAGGCACACAATGCATCCCACTTTCAAGGCAGTGAAACCAGAGTTGTGGCAATGATATGCCACTGTATGTCATTGAATACCAAAGTCAGTATTTCTGAATCTTACACATGCAGAATTAAAGCAGTTTGGCACTGCTTTAACTTCCATGACTATCCTACAGAATCCTGGGATTTGAGATGTGGCATTGGAAGAGAGTTTGATGTATACTATGGATAGTTAAAAAGACAAATGAATGGGTCCTAGAGCAAATCAGCACTGAATGCTCACTAGAAGCATAGATGACTAAACTGAGCATCTTGTACTTTGGCCAAATCATGGGATGACATGACTCACTAGAAAGAAGGATAATGCTCGACTAGGGTTGACATATTCTAGTCCAGGGGTAGGCAACCTTTCCCCTTTAAGGGCCGAGGGACTTCAGCTCCCAGAATCCCAGGAGCTATTGGCCAACATGGGACTATTGGCCAACATGGCTGAGCCTTCTGGGAGCTGAAGTCCCTCGGCCCTTAAAGGGGAAAGGTTGCCTACCCCTGTTCTAGTCCCGCATATCTGGGCATCTCAATTACATCTTATGTAAATTATTATAATTGTGCACATTATTAATTTGCATTTTGATTATGCAAACTCAACACGTTAGTTGTTGCCCTTTTTCTACCATTATGTTTCAACCCCAGTACCAGTACCAAGCTAAGAGCTCTTTTCTTCTTCTTCCCCCCCAACTGGTGTGAAGAGAGGGAGGCTTCCAAGAAACCCCACCAGGGGTAGGCAACCTTTCCCCTTTAAGGGCCGAGGGACTTCAGCTCCCAGAAGCCTTAGCCATGTTGGCCAATAGTCCCATGTTGGCCAATAGCTCCTGGGATTCTGGGAGCTGAAGTCCCTCGGCCCTTAAAGGGGAAAGGTTGCCTACCCCTGAACCAGACCCTGCAGGGCAGGATGAACCTTCCGCCAGTGCCAGTCTTCTTGCCCAGTTTCCGGCTTCATTGCCTCAGTCACATTTTAACCTATCCATTGGCCTGCGACGAAAGAGAAATCCAGGATTTGTTGCTTCAGCTGGCCCGGACATTTTTTAGTCCCTTCAATCTGGGATTTTCCAGGTTTTCCGGGACAAGTGGCAACCCTACGCTCGACAAAGTGGAAGGCAAGAGGGGAAAAGGAAGGCTGCATTGCAGGTAGATAGTCAAGGAATCCAAGTCCCCGAGTTTGCAAGACCTGAGCAGGACTGTTGATAACAGGGCGACTTGGTGGTTACCCTGACGCAAGGGTGGGCTAAGGTATAGGACACTGTTCTTGACTTTTCTTCTTGGCCTTGAAATGGCAATGGAGTTACCCACCTGTCTTCTGTGGAATGCCCTACCTCCTATTCTTTCTGATAGAAATGAAGAGTTTTCAGATACTGAACAGTTTGGCTCTAGTTTGTATTTCTTTTTGAACTGTATCTATGTTGTTGAAAGTATTTTTAAATTATATATATATTGTTTTAAATCTTTATGCAATGTTTTTCTTCCAATATGGGAGCCGGGATGGCTAATGACACAGTTACGAGACACAACTAAAAACAATCATAGTATGGGGGGGGGGGGGAAGGAAAGTTTTTAAAGAAATTAAGTAAACTATCCTACTGAATACATTAATTAAATAAGCTATCCTCTTAGATTGTTGCATGGCAGGGGGTTGGACTTGGTCACCCTTGAGGTCTCTTCCAACTCTATTATTCTATGATTCCACACAAGGGGTAGGCAACCTTTTTGAGCCGGGGGCTGGGTTGCTGTCCCTCAGACAATTGGGGGGCCGAAGCACCCAAAATAAATAAATAAATATTTTAAAAAAATTAAAAAATATATATGCATGCACACTCTCTCAGCACCAGAAAAGCCACGGCAAAACCCCTGTGGAGATTTTGCCAAGAAAACCTCAAGGACAAGTAATAACAACAATAATCAATATCATCATGGCGGACGGCAGCGGCAGCGGCAGCAGGACCGGCCTGGAGCCAGTCCAAAGGCCTCAGGGGGCTGCATCCAGCCTCTGGGCCTTAGGTTGCCTACCCCTGTTCTACACCAATTTTTTTTTAAAAAAGAAATCATATATATATATTTTAAAAAACCCACAAAAGTTTACAATAACATGAAACATAATGTGGATAAATATACAGTGGTCCCCATTAAGGTTCTCTAAATTAAAGGAGAGAAGAGAAAGGGCCAGTCTAGCTTTCAGGGGGAAGGAGTTCCAAAGCATAAGAGCAGCCACCAAGAAGGCTTTCTCCCAAGTCCTCATCAAAGATGCTTGTGATGATGGTGGAATCAAGACAAAACCCTCCTCTAAGGATCCCAGAACTCAGTGTCAGAACTCAGCCAGGCTTTTATTGACCACCACCATTTCTGAAGTCTTCTCCAGCTTGCCCTGAGCTTCCACACAAGAGAGGCAAATTGATTCAAGAGCCTATCATGGAGTTAATTCCTTGAGTTTACTTTGCATCTGCCAGCATCTTGACCTTTTAAGACCCCCCCCCCATGTTAATAATAAGGGAGTTTCCTCCTTTTGTATCCAGACTCTGGGATAATTGGCAGATTTAAAATTTCTGCCCAAGAAATGTAATTAATTAGCTGTTGAAGGGTAGGGAGCAGGGACAAAGAAATTGTAAATGCAGACTCTTTGTTAAAGGAGAGATTCAGCTGTGCCTCCCTTCAGAAACAAGTCACTGACACATCGCCAATGTAGTCAGTGTGAAAGTTGGCAGAAGCCCCTCCAAATTTGGTAGCAGCTGGTGGTGTCCATTTCATAGAATCATAAGAGTTGGAAGAGACCCCAAGGGCCAGCCAGTCCACCCTGTGCCATGCAGGAATCCATAATCAAAGCACTCCCAACAGATGGTCATCCAGCCTGTTTGAAAACTTCCAAAGAAGGAGACTCCACCACACTCCAAAGCAGTGTCTTCCGCTGTTGAACAACTCTTACTGTCTGGAAGTTCTTCCTGATGTTTAGGTGGAATCTCTTTTCCTGGAGCTTGCATCCGTTGCTCCATGTTTTAGTCTCTGGAGCAGCAGAAAACAAGCTTGCTCCATCCTCACTATGACATCCCTTCCAATATTTAAACAGGGCTATCATGTCACTTCTTAACCTTCTCTTCTCCAGGCTAAACGTATCCAGCTCCCTAAGCCACTCCTCATAGGAAATGGGGTCCAGATTTTTCACTGTTTTCGTCACCCTCCTCTGGACATGCTCCAGCTTGTCAACATCACTTTTGAATTGTGGTGTCCAGAACTGGATATAGTATTAGTGCGGACAGTTAAAGTAGTGTCAGACGGCATTAAATCTAGAATGTGGCAGCAGCCTGACAATGGATTAATCAGCAAAATGCTATAAAACCATTAAAAAAAGCCTAGTGGTTGAATTCCTTCTTCCACCCTTATCAAAATAGTATTTTAATTTTTTGTGGGTTTCTCGGGCTTTGTGGCCATGTTCTAGAAGAGTTTCTTTCTGACGTTTTGCCAGCATCTGTGGCTGGCATCTTCAGAGAATTTTAATTTCTCTCAAGTAGGAATGTAATTCTTTTCTAATTTCAGTCTGGAATGAAACAACAAGTCATAGAATCATAGAATCTTAGGGGGGAAGCAGACGGCACAAAGCGCCATCTTCAGGGCAAGGAAGGGGAGGGGCAGCCACATGCTGGGTGCCCCAACCCCTTCCCGAAGACATCGTCGGAGTGCCGGACCCTCCACACGTCCGGCGCTCCGAGTATGTCTGTCCACCGCAGTGTCCACACACGCTGCGGTGGAAAAGTCGCCGAAGGTGCGCCGTCAGCCATTTGCGGTGCACCTTCGGCGATTTGCGGAAGGAGCACTATTTTAGCGCTCCTTCCTGGGGCGGCAAAGCTGCACCGCAGGGCTGAGGAATGCGGATGCCTCGGCCCCGTGGCGCAGCTTCCTGGGGCGGCCCCGTGCCGCCCGTCTGCTTCCCCCTATAGAGTTGGAAGAGACCACAAGGGCCATCCAGTCCAACCCCCTGCCATGCAGGAACTCCCAATCAAAGCATCCCCGACAGATGGCCATCCAGCCTCTTCTTAAAGACCTCTAAAGAAGGAGACTCCACTACACTCCAAGGGAGTGTGTTCCACTGTCAAACCACCCTTACTGTCTGGAAGTTCCCCCTAATATTAAGGTGGAATCTCTTTTCCTGGAGCTTACATCCATTGTTTCGGGTCCTAGTCATTTAAGCATTTTTCTTTTCCCTTTGCAGTTTTTGAATACTGTTTGCAGAAATTTTTGCAGAAATCTCATGAGGTACTTTCCCTGCATTTTCTGTGCAAATTATATAGTAATTTGATTAATAATATGATTGTATTATATGATGATGTGCAGAAAGTGCTGTTGCTCACTTGACTTAAAGAGGACCTTTCCAAAGTACATTTCTACACCCATTTGTCTCCTCTGGGTCTTCTCTTTGAGCCAAAGGGATCAAGGGAGATGTATGTTCCTATTGGGTTACTGTTGCAAGCATTTGTGTTTAATATGTTGTCAGGCATTAATCTACTGCTGAAGCAGAGTGAGTTTGGCCTCGTACATTTCCTGGATGAGAGACCATCTGGGAATCATCTGTGAGCTGCTCTGATCTCTTCTCTTTGGAACAATAATGGAGCCAATGCATCATCCATAAAACATTAAAGCCATCCTCTCTTGTTTTCTTGGCTTGGCTTTCATTCAGCTGGGGGATGGGCTGAGAACTTTTCACGGAAAGGGCATCAGTCTTCATCTTTACAACTTTCCGCACCTAGGAGGAGGGACATCTGTGGTCATCTGTGGGGGTCTGTATCACTGATGCATGGATTTCAAGGTTAATGTTTTCAGATAAACCTGTGGTTCTTAAATCAGTCCTGTTCAGGCAGCCCCTGATAACTTG